CTAAAATAAAGGATTATTTACTAATTCCACCCTACCCTGTATTAAATAGTTATTGAATGTAAACATACGATTTTGTGTTCTGTTAATACGTACGTAGATTTGATATTAATTGCTTTTTGATAGTGTAGTGTTGTGACTGTTTTGTGAGTAGATGCGGGTACTTCAGCATTTTTTTTTATTTAATAGGTCGGCAAACGAGCAGACGGATTACTTGATGGTAAGCAATCAGCGCCGCCCATGGACACTCGCAACGGAGGAGTTACTAGTGCGTTGCCGACCTTTTAGGGATTAGGGATTTGGAGATTTAGGGATTTAGGAGGGATTGGGGGAGGGGAAGGATTGGGCCTCCGGTAACCTCAATCACCCGGCGAAACACAACGCTGTAGTTATTTCACGCCGGTTTTCTGTGAGACCGTGGTATCTCTCCGGTCGAGCCGACCCATTAGTGCAGAAGCATGGCTCTCCCAAACTTAAACACACACAGCATTTTTAATAGTATCGGTAAACCGATACTCATATTAATACCGGTTACAATTTATTCTATAACAACATGTTTTAATTGTGATATTTTATTTCAATTTATATTTCAATCTAAGTAATTTTGGGTTTCTGATTTTTTTAAATGTCATTATTACTTTTTAAATATTATACTTTTAGTATTACTTTTTATTTAATAACCTACCGAGGCGGCTTCGCACGATTGCAAAGCCGATACTAAATTTCTCAACTACATATTTAATAAATGTTATTATTATACATATGTATTATATTTGTTTTTTAATCACTCTATCTGTTGAAAACACCGTATCAAAATCTGTTGCGTAGTTTTAACGATTTAGGCATACATAGGGACAAAGGGACAGAGAAAGCGAATTTGTTCTATTATTAGTTATTACTAATTCTCTGTAAAATATGTAAGACCTACCTCTATCTAAATGCTATATTTTATATTTTGAAAAGTATTGCCGTTCTTTTACTCTTAAGTATTTGGATTTGTGTAAATTTCTCATTTATTAAATTGTATTTTTCATTGTTTCAGAATGAATTCGAAGTGCAGATAACACACAAGTTATTCCGGCCGTCAACATCAAAATCGTTAGTATAAACTATTCTATATTACACCACAAACAATGATATAATGATAAAATTACTTCAGAGCTTTCAAACCAAGTAATATTTAATAATAGGACAATAGGTGACATAATAATATATGGTATTTAATAAATGCGGTAGAACTACATAATAATCTCTAATACAATTTGCCAAGAGAATCTAAACTAAAGCGAAAATATAAAAGAAATCCAGTTCAAATCAACAAATAACCAACATTCCAGACTTACAAAGATACATAGAAAACCTTAAATAACACTCAACAAAAACATATACAAATAACGCAATCAGACCAACCGTGGTAGAAAACATTGTATCACAAGCACCAACAATGGAGTAAGTTCGCGTGCCCGCGGCAGATACGACCATAAACGCTACAATTGTACCACCGCATTTATTTACGTGTACTTATGGACAGTACCCATAAATATGAGAACGGGGAGCGTGATCTGTACCCAGTAATTATTGCGTGACTTATTGGCGAAGGAAGATAACACCACCAAAATAAACAGACCCCCCTAAACTCTTACATACAACCAACACTCCTAATACTCGTTAGGAAAATGAGAGACCATCTTAAATTGGTGTCAAATACATCGCTTGGAGGGCTACGGCAGCTTTATCTCGCGCTTGACTGTTGATCGTGACTTTCCGACAGAGATTTCTGTAATTACACTGATTATGAATGTAGGTGCCATGTTGTTTTTCGATATGAAGCAGAAGCTTTAGGAGTTATGAGGGTGGTTACACAAATACTTTTTTTTATTTAATGCAGTACCTTTATTGTATTGAGATAGGGCCTTCAAAGGATAGTATTTTTGCAAAGGTCTTAAGATTATTTATGAACCTCTTTTATGGAAGAGTAATAATGTAAAAAGGAGTATGTATGATAAACTGGTTAAAAAAGAGCATCCATGTAATTTCTTACTCGTTCTCTCTCGGAATCTCCACTTTGGAACAATCAAATAGCTTCACTAAGAGGACTGACCGACATGCTGAAACTTTTTATCTTTAAGCTTTGTTTGATGTTCGAAAGTGCCTGTTAGGGTCTTATTTAACTAAATAACTCTGACTTTTGACTTTGGTTAGGTGTCCGGTCTCTATAATTAGTGCTATCTTTTTATTGACCCTTATAGATAGAAATAGGATGGTGACAAATACAGTCTACTCTGTAGTCGCTGGCTTAGATCGAGATCAGTAATGATGTATTAAAAAGGCCTGTAATTGACATTGGACGCATATGGACTAATGATGATTCTATCTCTTTAGCTTTAGCTAAAAGCTAAAGTATCTACACTAAATGTCATGATGTTTTTTTTATTCATATAAACAAGTGCTTGATTGCAATTCTATCTGATGATAAGCAATGATACAATCGTTGATGGTAAGGCGCACTAGTTAAATGCCATGTTTAACTTACCCCTTTACTATACCCGACACATTTAGAACTCAATTACTGAGTATTCAAAGTCGTTATCCATATTATCAAAGTTTAATGATATCAAAATATTGTTAACAAATAGTTAGACGCTGTAAAGTAGTACTACATGAACCAATGCAAGGAATATGGTCCTTTGCTGAACACAAATCTAAAAATGTAAGTATATAAGTAACTATGCACAACATAGAATACCAATGAGCTGAAACGTATTTTGTATAATTCTCCTTTATTTAATAACTGTATTAAGTAATAATATCGTTCATAAATATTTGTGTAGGTATTCATTAAAATCTGAATGAAGACGTCATAAGTTTGAACCATAAAGTCACAAGTTAACATTTTCGTTTCACAAAATGCGACCTCGTAAACAATCAAAACATATGACAAACTTAATATCAAACTTTTGTTAATTCCATTTACTCTTGATTCCGCGAAAAAATGTAAACAAAGACAGTTATTTAACCTTGTTGCGAAGTTTGATCCAATAAAACAAAGTTCGAACAAACGAATGCATTAAAGTCACCGCAAACTGATCCAATCGTAATATCGCACTCCCAGACATCGAAAGTTAGTATGCATTGACTTTGAAAAGTCGTCCAAAACTAAGTTGGGTTATGTTTATGAAACTATTCGGATGCGGGTGTGTGCCGCCAATACACATGCAAGAACTCGCGCCCAACTCGAGGCATAGTTCGCTAAGTGGAACAGCTGTAAAACAAAGTAGCGAAGGGTCTAGGAACTTAGTGTGTACGTTGGCAAGTATTCGGCGGTGGCGCCGCGAACACATGTCGTGAGGAGCCGCCGACGTCGACGACGCATCTTCACAACTTTGACAGTTTAATTCGGCAGGAGGCCCGTCGCGGCCGACGACCGCCGATTTATAAATAAGTTAAACTAGGTTTTAACTAAAGTATTGCGGTGGGATGATAACGAACCCGGCGCCTACGCTCCGCCCGCCACCCCGCGCACCGCGCCCGCGTGCAGATAAACTTTTAAAATGACTTTGGAAGCTTTTGAGCTTTTAATCGGTAAAGTTGTACAGACAGACAGTTCGGGCACAATCCTTGAACCGCTTGCGCCGGCGACGGCGGCCGCAAAACTTTGTTTTACAGGACTACTTTTCTTCTTGTTTCAAGGTTGGACTCTTAAAACAAACTCCGGTTCGACGGAGTTCGCGAACTCGGGCGCGAACAATTTACAAATTTCTCTCTTTCATAACAACTAACTGCCGCTCGGCGCGCCGGCGAAAGTTGTCCTGCGTAGATCTTAATCGCATTGTCTGTTGCGCTCGCGGCGCCAACAGCTGATTGTGACGACACAGTTTATCGAACTTTTGCTTTAATTCATGTACCGAATGTACACGTAACGTAACAACACACCGACGTTGTAAATATAAACAATACTGACTAGAAGACCTCAGACTATTGATACATCTTTTAAGCAACGTTAGCGGTAGATACTCTTTGAATACCATGCAGTCGTTTTGGAACATGTTGAATGAACGATGAAATCAGGATGGACAGCTATGTCAGTACAAAAAGGCCCTCAGATAGACCTCGGGCCCTCCGACGCGTTTATTCAATTCATTTAAGTGACATCGATAGCATCGACTGCGGTCGAAAAACTCGTCTGCCAAATTTGACGTCCCCCCCCCGGCGACCGACGACCGGCGGCGACTTCTTTTTTCAGTTCACGCCTCACCTGCCTGGGGCCAGAAGTGGCCTCGCGTGAAATACACTGATTGGCGTTTAATGTTGAACCGTCTGCCTTTTATTTGACCGGTACTGGTGTCGAAACTCTTAAAAGCTTTTTATACGAGAGGGCGTCGATTTCTTTATATACAATACGTACATAGCCTTGCGTATCGCATTTTCTTGAACGTATGGCGCAGCGGCGTAATGTAGCCGTCTTTTTTGGGTGGAGCGTCGAAATCGGTTCGTAATAGAGCCACATTTTCATTACTGCTTATATACTGGTACACGAGATAACACATACACACATAAGCTAAATGCAGTATCGGGTATTGCGCGTAAATTTTACGTAACTAGAAATAAATAGGTTGCGGGTGTGTGGGGCGGGGCGGCGTGGGCGGCGGCGTGCGCGCGCAGTGCCCCCGCGCCCGCCGCCCGCGCCCCTCCCCGCCAGCCCGGCCTGCTGCCGACCTCCGCATAGTCCGCGAATAGCGCCCCGCGAGCCACCCGCACCGCGCAGCGAGCTCCAGCGTTCGCTGCCGCCCGACACGGCCTACGGATAAACTTTTCCGTCGTAGACGCGCTACGCTGTGCTACGAACTCCGGTATGCTACGCATCGAAATTTAATAGTCCCAAGTGCATTTTAGTGCAGTGTTTATTTTTTATTATTAAATAGTCAGTGAGTTCGTGAATAAATATAAATAAATAAATAAAAACTTTAGTGCGCAATGAGGACTCGCCCCTCCGTTTTATAGCGATGTCGGCCCTCGTCCGACCCATGTGGTAAGTCGCCACTTGATTACAAAAGTTTATATTCCGTAAACTTTATAGTTATTAAGTCGACGCGTTGGACGCGATTTGTACTTACGTTTTATGGGAATATGCGGCATTGTTATTTCAGCGGTGTTCAACGAAAATACTGAAGAAGTGTTCAAGATTAATTTATATCGTTTACGCACAAATCCCACGCTCGTAAAACCATTTCACGAAATGCTTTCATAATGTGTGTTGTTAAATATTGATGAGTTGAGTACTGTTAACGTTGTATGTTAGGTTTGAGGTTGATTCGGTTTGTTTGTCGAGAGGTTGTATTCCTCCCTCGTTTGCCGTATCTGAGGTAATCGAATCACGTCAATAAGATGAGCGAGTCTGCAAATAACCGCGACATTAGGTCGGATGCGGAATACGTAATGGCGCGAAGCTAAATACATTACCTACCTTTAATTGTACCAGTATAAGCAGTAGCGACTGAACTAATCGTTATGAAAATTTCATTAAATTATGTCATGTATTTATAATTTTGACGAGGATAAATAAATTATGAGAATATTTAGTCAAATACATTTGTTTTCGTGAAAATAATCTATGTAATTTTACTTAGTAAAGTAATCATGAAATAACATTTAAAAGACTGTTACGACACCCAAATACATATAAAAAGAATAAGAAAGTATCTGAAAAACGGCAGTATAAAAAGCTACTTAAATTGTGAACATACAAAATTTCAATTCTGTTTTAAAACACTCAATAATATACCAAACGCATAAACTTTAATAATACTTTTAACTAAATACTGTCTTATAAATAAATCAAAGATTAATTTATATTCTTGAACGGCATCTCTACTTTAAAGACCCAAAAGACGAGATGACCAGACAATGAACAAAATTTCAAAAAAATATTATACACTTTATAAAAAAATACGAAGCAATTTGTCAAACGTTTAAAAATCACAATCAAAACCAACCGCATCGTTAACACAATAAAAAAAAACAAAACGCAAACGAGCAAGTCACTAAACATCAACTCCATTAAAAGTCAACATTAAAAACGTTAACCGTACCGTATAATTAACGTAAACGTTTAATTCAGGTGAGGTGCGGCCGATTTCACGTATAACGCCTCCCTCATCTGATAGCGCTAAATTGTTTCACTCGTATCTGATGGGCCGCTAAAATGTCGCTTATTTTACCTTCCATTTTCAACCTTGTTTGCGGATTTACGGAAAGTGATTTTATTAATTTAATATTATTTTATTGAATGGGATTTTTTTTCATTAGATCGTTTAGGAATTATGGTATAGGTACATGAAATTATCTTAAAACACTTTATTACTAAAATCAAATGTAGAAAATATATGCATTGCAACAGTTGTAAATTTGTTACATATAGTCTGAAGTCGACACAAGCTCTTATAAACAAAAACATTTTAACTACATACAGGGCATGTACTTATAGCCGTACTAAAACAGGACCTTCAAAAAACCTTCTGAATAATTTTAACTCTACCAATTAACTTCCAATAAATTCCAAAATTATCTAACTCACTACATAACTATTAACACAGCAACCAAACAAGAAAAAACTATAAACTTCTTACACAAATATTGTATCACAAAACTTGCGTCAGCTGTTTGAGGCAACAAAGATTCAAAATAAATGAAGAAATGTATCCTACTGAGCCCGCGGGTGCATACGTCGCGATCGTGTCGAGGGTGCGATTCAACCCGTGATAACCCTCAGTGAGCCCTTAACATAGGGCTGCCACTCGATGTAATACCAAATATAAAGTAACGCAGAAATATATTTCGTGTTTTAAGAAATGTGTGTGTTTTTACCATCGATTTCTTGACATACGATTGTTAATTTTTATTAATGAATATCGAAACAAGAATGTCTGATAAATTGTTAGATAGTTCCGTAGATACTATATTAGGACAAAGGAGTTTAAAGTTAAAAACATCTAAACGTAAATCTGATTACTGAGCCTTGAATTCATTATTATTAACTTTTACTATCTATATAATTATGGGCTAACTTAGTACCGAAACACATATGTCAGTTTGATTTAATATTTTACTATAATGCACAAGAGAACATGGAAAAATGTACTTTCTATATATATTTTTATTCTTTGCCAACCGTATCTTAAATTTTGTGTAGAAATATCTACCATACTCGAAATAATCGGATACACAATTACCTGAAACCACTTACTTACATACAAATATGGTAGGATACTAGTATATAGTCACAGTTTACTCAGTCAAGGTAAGATGGCGATAATCTTTTAGCCAGATTTGTGTTTACGTTAATTCCTGATTTAAAATAATATCTTATACTATAATAATAATAAAACGAGCCATCTACAAAAACTGTGGTATTTATTTAAAAAAAAAATACCACTTCTAAATTTAAATAAATGCCAACAATTTAAAAAATGCAGTGTATTTATTTAAAAATTGGTGTATTTAAAATAAATACTAGCATGGAACGTGGGGAACGTGTTCGCATGCGAGGGCTCGATACACCGAGCGATAGCCCTCGACACGGTTGAGCTCTTGATACAGGGTTATCACTTTGAGGAAAATTGCGTTAATATTTGTTTTGTATATTTTTTATGATAAAAATGTGATTTATTAAGTTGCTTGTAATTCAAATACTGATTATTTTTTATCATTGAAGGTATAAGTAGATTTCGGAGGCGAAAAGTAATAGGTCTTTACCTATGAAATTGCCGTTCTGCAGTACTGGCCATTTCAAATCAAAATAGTTTTTGTTAGACTAAGGCTAATTAATCTTGTTTTTAAAACATGGGATTCTTTTTCTAAAAGTAGTCATTTGTTTATTTATTTATTAGTGTTACATTTCCATCGAATTTCAAATAAAAAGATTCGTTTAAATTTTTTTATGCAAACGGCAATTTCATAGGTAAAGACCTATTATGTGCAGTACCTACTAGTTTAAATAGCTAAGTTCTTATTTGCATCAGTATAAAATAGGTGTGAAAATATAAGGGAAGTAAAAATTATACTTCAATAACTCATTTCTCGTGTTTCAGATTTATAGTTTTGAAAAGAAATTTCGCAAGTCGTTTATGAATATACTAAGTGTTGTAGGTTTTTCTTTTCGTGAAACATGATCAAAGAAATATTAATTGATAGTTTAAATTCTAATACGAATATATACTGGCTTTGATTTCTACAAAACGTTTAATTCTATATTAAAATTATATTTTATTTATTAATAACTTATATTTCCTTTTTCATGACAAAAAATCGAAAAACAGAAGTAGGTTGATTCGGTTGATTCGGAATCAAAAACAAAACAAAGATGAATCAGAACAATTTCAAAAACCTTATAACGTAAAAAGCTATCGAGAAATAATCACATCAAAAAATATAAAAGCCCAAAAAATAAAATCACAAAGAAATAATGCAGTAAATATTTCTCTATACTGCCAACCCTATTACGCACCGAACAGGGTAAGGGAGCCCGTTGCCAGTTACAATGCACCGCGCCACTATTACCCCACTTATTTTAACTCACTTTGGCTATTGCGATATTGATTTTTTGCACTCATATGGTGCGCTTTTTGGGTTTAGAAAATCAATAACACAGATGTAGGTGGATAAAGGAAACGGGGACTTTAAAGGGTTGAAATTTGTTGTGAGCTTTGTATATTATGGCTAGTTAAATGTACTTTAACGTTGACATTTGCCAGTGAATGTAATTATAGCGAATATTTTGTAGGCATGGAATTTAACTCACTCTCTTATTGTAGTACGTCTACGACCTCACATGTGTCAGTTAACTTTAAATCGAGAAAACATAGTCAACAATAGCATAAAATTACTTTGCATTAATCAACTTATGTAAGGATATAACCAAAAGTCGGCACGAACCATATTATATTGCATATCAATTGACTTGTAGTGGCTATACTCCATAAGCTACACGATAATAAAAATATGTTTCTTAAAGCGAACTTTTAGTAAATACCAAGTTGCTTGTTACAAACGCAGTATACGAGTACAACAGTTTATACCAATTAATTTAAACCTTTTGACAAGAAGCTAATCTTTTCAATGACAAAGTCCTAGGAAATCTATGAGTTTGTTCTTTCAATGTCTTACAATTTTATTTGATTTTTTTAATTACGATAAATACTAAAAACATGCTACTTAACCCTATGATGTACAGTAGATTCAATCACACACACGACACACTGAAATTCAGCGCCTTTCGAGAATATAAATAACGAAATAAATTTGAGAAAACCAAATATAATAAAATGTATGTACTTAAGTTTATACTTAGTCAAGTAAGTTTGTATATTTTACCATAGAACTATTCCCTAGTTTTATTTTGAGTTCTATTCTGTTAAAGCCGCCAGCTACGAAAGGAATTGAATATATAATTACCATTTTAATGGCAATCGACTGTAATCGAGCAGACAGATGATTATGATAAGCACTTGACGTCGCCAATAAACATCCGCCACTCTAGAATTACAAGTAGCGAAGGTACAATTATATACTTTTTTGTATAGAAAAAAATATGTTATTTGGGGGACCCGGGTAAACTTGCCTACGTACAATTCGGTTGTAATGCTGGTTTGCATACATTTTACTCAGTCAGTGGAGGATAGTATTCAAACAGGAAAGTTATATGATAAATACATTTAATTGTATTATAATTGTTAAATTAGCCACATATTACATTGTCTCTAATACAAAATATGAAAGGATTTGAAAACTTTACAAATACCCGAGGACTGATTTTCTTGGAACGGACATTACGTGACTTGTAAAAACATAATCTTCTTCAACAGTAAGACATTTACTCCAGAACCAAGACTTTTCCATTACTCGGCCACTCTGAATGCCAATTCATAATCTGTGTCTAATGAGAGCTTCTCCGGACTATGGAAGTTACTACAAGATATGCAAATTTAACATATCACATACTACTCGTACATAAAGAAAACATAAACGACATTT